AGTCCTACAGACTTCCCTTTTGGGTCTGCACTGGTAATTTATCCCTCTACCCCGTGGCAGCCTTTTTCTGAAGTCTGCACTGCTAACTCAGGCCAGCTGCAGTCCTCACTTAGCTTCCCCAAGCTAGGCCCCTTTCCACATTCCCTTCTCTGGGCTATGAAAAGCTGCCAAACAGACAAAGCCTCCTCTCTCCCCCTTTGCCTCTCTGAAGACTTCTCTCTTATCTCAGTGTCTGATCTGGTTTAGCTATGTGACCTACTGGTCATGTGACCTAAATAATTTTCCCATGCAGGGAGTTGGGTAGCAAAAGTCACAGTTGGGGTAATTATGCCTTAAAGGGCCAGTGACAAGTGGTAATGTTGATATTGAAGGGATGGTACATACAGGCAGGGTAGGATAGACTGAAAAAAAAGTGGAAGAGGAAATAGAACTCATATACTACCAGGCTTTTGAATGCATCATAATAAATACTAATACAGGATGAAATACAAGCACTATATAGCACTGTCCTAAAAATGTAAGTAAGATAAGTTCCTGTGTTGGGCTTTACACAGCGTGAATCTTAAACCTAATGGTGTGCCTTTTCTAAAGAATATGCAGATGCTAACATCTCAGAACCTACCTTTTCCATTTCATACAGTAGGTCAGTCAGTAATCTGAAGCTTCCCTCTTTATGTGCACCCAGCACTTTGTTCTTGATTTGAAATAGTCAGATTTAGTCTTTTCTGTCCTTGTTTCATCTTTCTGCTGCCCTTCCATGGTACTTTTGACGAAATTCTCTCCTGTGCAGGGAGCTTGAACCTTATTTCCTTTGCAAAGAAATGGATACCCACTAGAAATAAAATGCAATGAAAAGTATATGAAAATACAAAAACACATTGTGATACTTCTTAAAGAAATCAGTTCGCAATACAACCAGATGCATATCTAAATGTAACAGGGTAAGAAATGTGCATGACAGAAGGAAACTAGAACAGCAATTCTGAACTATTCTGTTGAACAGAACTATTATGTGTTCTGTATATACCGAATTCCCTTCAAACTGAGAAACTTATGTGTAAGAATTAGGAAAACCTTCCCAATGCTACATGTCCCCCTAGTTTAAACCATCAAGAATATCCCAGGCTCCAGGGCAGCATCTCCCTTTTATAGTTCTATAATTTTCAACTTGACAATGTACAGTTTACTTGGTGTGAAGTTTTGAGACCATAGTGCGACTCCCCTCTGCCCTATGCAACTTGGTAAGTCACCAGACAAATACTGAGTAGAAATTAGTTTCTTTTCTTCTCATTGACCCACATCCTCACATCTTCTCTTTCTCCATCTCCAGGTGAGAAAAATTATCTTAGTCCTATGACAGACAGGACATGTGGCTAAATCTGTCTCCATCCTTTTCCCGATTTATTCAAATAACAAACAGACAACACTAAGCAGAAACGGCACACAAGCATCTTCCTCCTGGAAATGACCCTAAACTTTATCCTTGGTTCTCCCACTATTTTAATCAGTGAAATACTTTGCAGGAGAGAGCTCATCTCACAAAATCATTCCCTCTGTCCATGTATAAATATGTGCAAGCACACCCACACACAACTACTTTTCTCACTACATTTTCTGTATGTTCTTCTTACCTTGTACACTACCAGAAAGAGATCCTTGGACAGGAGCTGGAGACTCACTAGCACTGTTTTAATTTAATTAATTCAGGTATGTATATGAAGGGGTAAAGGAAGCAAATTAGGAGTTCCAAGGCAGTGCTGACAAGCTAAATAAACTGTTTTTGTCATTCTCTGCCTCCAAAGGCCTACACTGGACCTATTCTTATCTAGTAAATGTACAGTATTATCAGAGGCTGAGGAGTGAAAAAGAGGTGCTGGCTGAAGATTGGAAATCTTGGGACTTGTTTGCCTTATCGAGGAGAGGAATATCAGGGGTATGATAAAGAATGCAAACTAATGAATGGCAGAGAGAATGGAGCTGGAATTCCTTTTCACAAGGGATTCATGGCTTTTCACAAGACAAGACTCCTGGAATAGGCAGTGGAATCAAAAGATTGCACAAAACTGATAGGAGAAATACTTTTACACATAGTGGGGTTGTTGGTTGTTCTTTACACACAGTGCACACTTAGGAGAACTCACTGCAAGCCAACACCAAGACAAACCACTGTCTATTAAAAAAAGAAAATAGGATTATTTATTTGGTTAAAATTAATATCACAACTATCCAGAACTATAACCAGAGATACTGTATTAAAATTTAATAAGCATTTTGGAAGTGATGTAAAGCCTCATGCTGCAGGGCCTGTGCTTAGTGAGATCAGGAAGAAACTTCACCTGGGGAAGATTAACTGCAGGGATTCTTGTACCATCCTCTGACATGTCTTCCATCACCCATTCGTTGTAACAGGATACTAGACTACACAGACTACTTGACTAACCAGTGTGACAATTCCCATAGTTCTATGTATATGGCCGTGGAAAAAACTCCCCATCAGTGACTGTGATGAAATATGCTACCAAACAGAGACAAGAGCTAAGACACTGGAAGAAACACAGGCATGATGCTTATTTTCAAGTTGACTAATGAAGATGCTGAAGTTACACATACAAACAACAGGCATATTGGATGAAACAAACTCAATGACATTCTATGGCCTGTTTTGCCCACGAGGTCAGGAAGATCATCTAATGGTCCCTCTGAGCTTAAAAGCTATTAATATACACAAGGCCTCTCATTCCATGAAAATATTTGACCCAAATTGAGGAAAGTCTGTTAGGGTAACGTATCAAGGCACAGCATAGTAGAGGCCTACCTCCTTAGCTAGTTTGTTGGCACAAACCTGACTCTTCATACCACAACCCTGTCTCCACCTCCCCCTCCTCCCCCTC